TGAACCGGCTCCTGCTACCTTTGCCCGTGGTCTTGTCACCGAGGTCCCGGTACCTTCGCTCTTGGCGTGGGCCTCAGGGTGGGAGCAGAGGACGCAGACACTCTCTGCCTGGAAACCTGTGGGTTTTTTGCCCGCCTCAATTCAGCCTTCCTTTGAGAGAGATGGATTTGTTCCTGCCTAAATTCAGCGTTCAGTAAACACCTACTCGGAAAGTTGCCGGAAACCCAGTGGCGACTATGCCAGACTAGTTTCTGCGTCACCAGACAGGAAAAGTCCAATGTAATAGTGACTTAAGCGGAGGGCAGAGCGATTAGGGATGTGACAGGGGAAGCACAGGCTGGGATGGTGGAAGACAGGGTATGACGAGAACCCAGACGAGTTCCTTATTCTGTGGGAGAGAGGACTTCCCCCGAGGAGAGAGAGGCCCACGAGTGAACAGCAGCCCCAGGCTCTACCTCCACTATTCTCAGCGCTGAGATGAAGACAAATTCTTCACCAGACAGATGTCCGGGCTGTGAAGGGGACGCACAGGCAGAGTGATCAGGTCTGAAAGGAGGGAGGACTAGAGGCGGCACTTAACCCAGCTTCGGGGTCAGGGAGGGTTTCCTGAAACAGGAACTGAATCTCAAAAGGAGGAGGGAGTGGGGCAGGTATAGGAGTAGAGGAAAATAAAGGAGACCTTTTGAACTGGGTGGTGGGGGAGGGGTTATGAGGAACTAGTTTTGATAATGAAACCTGAAGGATAAGAAGGGCTAGTGGACAAACATTCCAGGGATCACGACGGTGAATGCAGAAGTCCTGCGGCAAGAAGACCGCAGCCTTTTAGAGCCAGGGCTACTCCCACTAGTCTGCCTCCCTCCTGACATAATAATGCCTGAAGAGACTTAACTGGGTTATCAAAATGGTGTTTACCTAAACAAAGTTTTTTTACCAGCTAACTTCCTTAATCTTGCAGTGAGGTCCTAGGACTCATGATCTAGAGTCTGAATGTGAGGCCGAATGTCTCTGCAGCACCTGAACTCCCCGCCCCATTCCTGTTCCTCAAAGCCTGGGCTGGGCTGGAAGACAGAGAACACCCTGGGGCTGGGGTGGAGACACAGGCATATTCATTCATTCATTCATTCATTCATTTGTTCACAAATCCATTTTCATTCAGCACATAAATTGAGCACTCATTATGAGCCAGGTGCTGTTATAAAAGCTGGAGAAGATACAAAAGCGAACGAAATAAAATTCCTGCCCTGTTGGAACTCACTTTCTAATATTCAAAACAGTGGTCCAACTAGTGGTGGAACTAATTTTTTAATACCTCCTCCTCTCCACTAGAAAATTAATTTCAATAATAATCATGTAAGAATCATGATTTTATTTTTCATTTAAAAAATTTTATGATCATTTAAAATAATTTTTTAATTTTCCATTACAGTTGACATACAATATTATGTTATTATGTTTCTGATGTACGACATAGTGATTAGACATTTATATAACTTACGAAGTGATCACCCTGATAAATCTATTACCCATCTGACACCATACAGAATTGTTACAATATTATTGACCATGTGTACATATTTTTTCAATTAGAGGTCTTTTATTTTTTTACACCTATCATGCCATGAATTCCTAGGGAATGGGCTCCAGCAGCTCATGCTCCTTTCCATTGATCCTCACACAGTGTGCTTCTCTGGATGATGCAGGCTGGCACTTCAGCTGAACCCAGGCACCTTCCTCTTTGGCTCCCTTCTTTTTTGATCATTTTCCTTCACACATTTCAGGAAGCCATCTCTGCTCCTAGAGTGCTTCATATGCTCAATACGTACATTAATTCTCTCGGCAAGAATTGTGCCCTTAACTTGTTTGTTTACATCAATGCCAACTGCATGCTGGGTAACGCTGTAGACTCCTCCAGTTTTGCCATGGTAACACCGGTGGGGAGTGCTTTTTTGAACAGTGCCCATTCCCTTGATGTCTGCGATATCACCTTTCTTGAGGCTTTGCATGTTCATAGCCAAAGGAATAACTCCATGTTTTCTAAAAGGCCTGGAGAACACGTAGCAGGGGCCTGTCCTCTTTCTCTTTGTGTTGGTCATTTAGGCAAATTACTGGAAAATGGTGGTTCTGGCTGTAAAGTTAACTGTATTTCTTACGCTATACTTTACATCCCCATGACTATTTCGTAACTACCATTTTGTACTTCTTAACCCCTTCCCCTTTTTCACCCACCTCCCCAACCTCACTCCATCTGGGAACTATCAAAATGTTCTCTGTATCTATGAGTCTGTTTCTGGGTTCTTTTTGTTCATTTATTTTGTTCTTTGGATTCCACATATAAATGAAATCATATGACATTTGCTTTTCTCTGACTTCCTCCACTCAGCACAATATTCTCTAGGTACATCTATGTTGTTGCAGATGGCAAGATTTCATTCTATTTTATGGCTGAGTAATATACCATTTTATATATGAACCACCTCTTCTTTATCCATGCACCCACTGATGGACACCCAGGTTGCGTCCATATCATGGCTGTGGTAAATAATGCTGCAATGAACATATGGATGCACATGTCCCTTTGAAGTAGTGTTTTGAGTTTCTTTGGATAAATACCCAGAAGTGGGATTACTGGATCCTACTTTGTCTCTTGTTATAGACTTCGTTTTAAAGTCTCTTTTGTCTGGTGTAGTATTGCTACCCCAGCTTTTTTTTTTTCCATGTTCATGAAATATCTTTTTCCATCCCTTTACTTTCAGTCTGTGTGTCTTTCAATCTGAAGTGAGTCTCTTGTAGGCAGCATATGTAAGGTTCTTGTTTTCTTATCTATTCAGCCACCCTATCCTTTGATTAAAGCATTTAATCTATTTACATTTAAAGTAATTGTTGATAGATATGTAGCTATTAGCTATCGCCATTTTATTATTCATATTTTTTATCTTCTTTCTTCTTCTTCTTTTCTTCTTCTTTCTTCTTCCTTCGAAGTCCCTTTAAAATTCCTTGTATTACTGTTTTGGTGGTGATGAACTCCTTTAGCTTTTTCTTGTCTGGGAAGCTCTTTATCTGTCCTTCAATTCTAAATGAGAGTTGAGTCTTTGTTGAGTAGGGTAATCTTGGTTGTAGGTCCTGGCTTTTCATCACTTTGAATACTTTGTGCCAAGACCTTCTTTCCTGCAAAGTTTCTATTGAGAAATCAGCTGACAGTCGTATGGGAGCTCCCTTGTAGGTAACTAACTGCTTTTTTCTTGCTGCATTTAAGATTCTCTCTCTGTCTTTAACCTTTGGCATTTTAATTATGATGTGTCTTGGTGCGGGCCTCTTTGGGTTCATCTTGTTTGAGATTCTATTAAATTCCTGAGCTAGTATGGTTATTTCCTTCACCAGGTTAGGGAAGTTTTCCATCATTATTTCTTCAAATAGATTTTCAGTTCCTTGCTCTCTCTCTCTTCTCCTTCTGGTAACCCTATGATGCGAATGTTGGTACAGTTGATGTTGTATCAGAGGCCCCTTAAACTATCTTCCTTTTTTTGGATTTTTTTTTCTTTGCTGTTCTGATCGGGTGTTTTCTGCTACCTTATCTTCTAAATTGCTGATTCAGTCCTCTGCTTCATCTGATTTACTGTTGATTCCCTCTAATGTAGTCTTCATTTCAGTTATTGTATTCTTTATTTCTGACTGTTTTTTTTTGTGTGTGTGTGTTTTCTATCTTCGTTTTTATGTTTCCTGTTTCTTTGTTGAAGTTCTCACTGAAATCAGTGAACATCCTTATAACCAGTGTTTTAACCTCTCCATCTGGTTAATTGCTTATCTCCATTTTATTGAGTTCTTTTTTCTGGAACTTTGTTTTGTTCTTTCGTTTGGGTCCTGTTTCTTTGTCTCCCCATTTTGGCTGCCTCCTTGTGTTTGTTTCTATGTATTAGATAGAGTTGCTATGTGTCCTGATCTTAGTAGAGTGGCCTTATGTAGTAGGTGTCCTATGGAGTTCAGTGGTGCAGTCTCCCCGGTCACCTGAGCCGCGTGCTCCATGTGTGTTCCTTGTGTGGGTTTTGTTTGCGCTGCTGTTGTAGTTGAGGCTTGATTGTTGTTTACACATCATCGGGAGGGACTGACCCTCAAGCTGATGGGTTGTGAGGGCTGTTTGTGACTGGCTGTGACTGGTTGTGACTACAGTGAAGGGGCTGTTGTGCAGGGGCTGACCTCATGGAGCAGGGTTCACTTTAGCTAGGCTTTGGTGCCTGCCCAGTCTGCCCTTTGGGTGTGTCATCTGAGAAGGCTGGTGCTCAGGCTCAGTCCAAAACAGCTAGCTACCAGGCTTGCCGACCCTGGGGCCTCCTGGAAGGGGCCCCACCTCAGGGCAAGTTTAGCCTCAGTCAATGCCCTGCTTGGACCACCTGGCATGATCCACAAAGTAATCTGCAGATGGCCACCACCCGCACTGGGCTTGGAGGTGCCTGGGAGAGGCTAAACTGCAAACCAAAGCTAGCTGCCACAAATGATGGGCTTGAGGCTGCTCAGCAAGAGGAATAGGGCACCCTGAGGCCAGACAGATGCTGCTCGTTTGGGGTTTTATGAACCTTTGAGAGATTCTAGAAAAACTTACAGTGTGAGCCATTTGTATGGAAAAGCCCCTGAAAGTGGCTTGGGCGTGCCCTCAGTTGGGTGGGGCGTGATCTCTGTTTTTTCATTTTAAAATTAATAATTAAAAATGAATAAATTTTGATTTTAGAGACATTACTCAAATTCAGTAGAATATTTCATGTATAAATGAAAATTCGCACTTACCAAATAAAAGTATTACACTTTACAGTTCACACCCTAATTCAGTTTGAAATTTTAAACACAAAAACTCCAAAGAATACATAGAATGACTGAATAATTTTTCATCTTAACGATCATGGCGCTATTATTTTAATTTCTAATCCATTATTTAAATGCAGAAATATGCAGAATCATAGAGATTGGTGACTTAAACTGTGCCTGATACAAGTCCAAATGATTCCAAATTATCATGAACTTATTTTCAAAATGAACCATATAGCTGAGCCTTTACATATCAGAGGTCAACTCTGGGGATTCCCTATACAGGCATACCTTGGAGATACCGCATGTTCGGCTCCAGGCATTGCAATAAAGCAAGTGTAAAGGGAGTTGTAATCTTTTCGCTGGTGCAGGAGCTTGTCTTCAATTTGTAAAAAACACAATGTCCGTGAAGTATAATAAAATGAAACAAACAACAACGACAAGGTATGCTTGTATTAACTTCCCTATAGGCTAGCATGGCAAGAAGACATTGGGCAGCCTCTGTGTTCAGCGCCTGTATAATCTCCTTCCCTCAAGTGGGAGCAGGACCTGGGACTTGCTCATAACCAACAAAATATGGCAAAGGAGGTTTGTGGTTTCATTACACTATCTAAAACCCCATCTTAGTGGACTGAGAAGAGAGAGAGAGAGAGAGAGAGAGAGAGAGAGAGAGAGAGAGAGAGAGACTCATTGCTGGCTTTGAAAGAAATAAGCTGCTACATTGTAAGAGGACCTGTGGAGAAGGCCACATGGCAAGGAACTGTAGGTAGCCTCAAGGAGCTGAGAGCAACCCCCACGGACAACCAGTAAGAATATGAAGACCAAATCCCTCAAGCTGTTGGAAGCAGGTCTTTCCCCAGTCAAGCCTCTGATGAGATCACAGCCCTGGCTGGCACCTGGATTGCAGCCTGGTGATTCTGGAGCAAAGGGCCCAGCTAAGCCATGACTAGACCGATCCACAGAAACTATGAGCTAATATAATATATGTGTGTGGTCATTTATTATGCAGAAATAGAAAATGAATACCAATATAATGTTTACTGAAGGGTAGAGTAATAAAAAGATCTAATTTGAAGCTTACCTTATATTATTAAAATGCAACAGTAATTATTTAGTAGTAAGTAGACCAATGAAAGATTTTTCCCCGGGGGTGAGAGGATCATTTTATCACTGATATTGTACCGAATTGTCAATGTGTGATGGAATAAACATTTGATCAAATTTTGGTCAGTTTTATTATTTTCTACAGACAGTACATCATTTTCTGCCTGTATCCCAGGTAGACCACTCCTATTGCCCTCCCTTTGGGACACGACTAGTTGGAAAACAGACAATAAATGAGTAAAAATAGGATGGTTAGGGAAGACCTCACTGCACAGGTGATATCTGAGGGAGATAAGGGAGTGAGCCCTGTTGACATTCTGGGGAAGAGCTTTTCTGACCGAACTGCCAGTCCAAAGGTGCTGAGATGGGGCTGCAACTGGAGCTTTGATTGTAAACTAAGGAGCTTGGCCTTCAGCCTCTGGGCAGTAAGGAGCAATAGACAGTTTACTTACTTTTTTCAACATAACAGCTTTATTGAGATATAACTCACATACCATACAATTCACCCTTTTAAAGCGTACAACTCAATGGAGTTTTGTGACGATCACCACAATCGATTTTAGAAAATTTCATCATCCTCAAAAGAAACCCCATGCTCTTTAGCAGTCGTTCCCCCTGCCCCTCAATCCTCTCAGCCCCAGGCAACCACCAACCTATTTTCTGTCTATAGATTTTCCTATTCTGATCATTTCACATGAATAGAATCATACAACATGTGGCCTTTTGTGTCCGGCTTCTCTCACTTAGCATGCTTTCAAGGTTCTTCCATGTTGTATCATGTATAAGACTTAACTTCTTTTTATTGTCAAATAATATCCCATTGTATAGCTATACCACATTTTATTTACCCATTCATCAGTTGATGGGCTGGGTTGTTTCTATCTTTTGGCTATTATGAACAATGCTGCTATGAACATTCATACACAGATTTTTATGTGAACATAAGTTTTCAATTCTCTGGTACACATTTAGGAGTGGAATTGCTGAGTCATATGGTAACTCTAATTTTAACCTTTTGAGGAACTGCCAGACTGTTTTCCAAATTGGCTGCACCATTTTATGTTCCCACCATCGGTGTATAAGAGTTCTGATTTCTCCACATCCTCGCCAACACTTGGTATTTTCCATTTTTAAAAAATTATAGCCATCTTGCTGGATGTGAAGTAGTATTTCATTCTGGTTTTGATTTGTATTTTCCTGATAACTAATGATGTTGAACCTCTTTTCATGTGCTCGTTGTCTTTTACATATATTTTTTAGAGAAAGTTTTATTCGGATCCTTTGACCATTTTCAAATTAGATTATTTGTCTTATTACATTGAGTTGAAAGTCTTTATTTAGTTTAGATACAAGTACCTTATCAGGTATATGGTTTGCATTTTTTTTCCCCATTCTGTGGGTTATCTTTTCATTTTCTTGATAATGTCCTTTGAAACACAAGTTTTGGATTTTAATGTGTTGATGTAAGAAACTCCCAAACCTGTAGAGAATTTTTGTAAGACTTTGAGCCAAGCTGATGACATATGCCAGGGAGCAAGATCTCAGATGCTCTGGAAAATAACAGTTTTGCAGTTTCTTTTGTGCATTTGGAATTGAGGAGGGAATGTAAGAAAGATTACGTGAGGGCTGGAGAAAGCAAGGCAGAGACTGGATTACAGGAGAGTTATGATTATGGAGGGGTTGGAAACGGTGATCCGGTGATCCGGTGATCCGGTATTAGAAGGGAGTCTGAGAAGAAGCATTTCCAAGGTGTGTTAACCTAGATGTTCAGACACAATGGACAGGGCTGGCTTAAGGCAGAGATAAGCCTTTGAGTAAAGAATCCTTAAGCCTAGGGCGTGACTACTCACCGAGACCTGCCCAGTTAGGAATTTATGATCAGATGACCCTGTGAGGTTGCTTTCCATAGAACACCTATTTTTGTCCTCAGTATTACACCAAAAGCATGAACGATAAAGAAAAAAATAGATAAATTGGATACTGTCTGTGGATGAAAAAAGTAACCTTGCAGGGTGATCTGATCATAAATTCCTAACTGGGCAGGTCATGATGGAGAGTCATGCAGAGTCCTATAACTTTTTAGTGAAAACTTTTTCTCTTCCTTAAGCAAGCACTGTCCATTGTGTCTGTGCATCTCGGTTAACACAGCTTTGAAATCCTCAAGAGGGCACATCATCCTAACTGTCCTTAATCTGATCCTCTGTCTTGCTTTCTCCCACCTTCAGGTAATCTTCCTTTTGTTCCCTCCTTAATCTCAAATGCATAAAAGAAGTCGCAAAACTGTTATTCTTTGGAACATCTGAGATCTTGCTCCCCAGCATATGTAGTCAGTTTGGCTCAAATAAACTCACAAAAATTCTCGGCAGGTTTGGACATTTCTTATGTCGACAATATCTAAGAGATCATTGCCTAGTTATGGCTAGTTTTAAGCAGGGGAGGAGCATGACCGAATTTACGTTTTAAAGTATCAAAGTGCAAAGATTTGTGAAGACTTCTCTAGTCACCCTTGCTAAAATCGCGATCTCACCCTCACTCCATTTCTCCTTTTCTGCTTCTTATTTCTCCATAGGACTTATCATATTCTAATAAGCTGCAAAGCATACTGTACTTATTATGTTTACTGCCTATCGCCACAAGAACGTCAACTCCACGAGGACTGCACTTGTCTCCTTTGATTACTGCTCTATCCCCAGTTCCTACAACAGTGCCTGCTACAGAGCAAGCACTCAATGAACACTCGTAGAGTGAGCCAATAAATGCACGGATAAGTGAATAAATGAAACGACGAACAACTTAATGTCCTGTGAGAACTTCTGTTTGACGTTGCCTGGCAAAGAAAGAAAGCGGCATGGGGGCTCCTGCACCGTCCTTTCAACCACCAGAGGGCGCCGACAGGCACGGTCCCCTGAGCCCGGCCCTGGACCCCGCCCCGCGGGAGCCAGTCCCCGGGAGCCCCAGATGCCCGGCCCGGCCTGGGGCTCTCGGACCCCACCCACACCTGAGCCCGGCACCGCTGAGGGCTTTAAGCCGGCACAGAGGCCAG